TCTTCTTCTTCTTCTTCTTCTTCTTCTTCTTCTTCTTCTTCTTCTTCCTCTTCCTCTTCCTCTTCCTCTTCCTCTTCCTCTTCCTCTTCCCTTCCTCCTCCTCCTCTTCCTCCTCCCACCACCACCATTTCCACCACTTCCTCTTTCTTCTCCCTCCTCCTCCTCCTCTCCTTCTTCTTATCCTTCTCCTTCTTCTCCTCCTGCACCTCCACCATCTCCTTTTCCCTCCTTCTTCCTTCTCCTTCTCCTCCTCTTCTTCTTTCTCCTCCTTCTCCCCTTTCTCTTTCCTCTTCTCTACCTTTCCTCTGCTTCCTCCTCCTCCTCCTCCTCCTCCTCCTCCTCCTCCTCCTCCTCTTTACAGTACCAAACATGAAGTTCAGTAAAGATGTCTACTCTGTGAAAGAGAAGGACCGCGTCCTCCATGTTCCTGTTATCCGTACTGGAGACTTAAGCTACGAATCTTCAGTCAGGTGCCATACACAGAGTCAGACCGCAAGAGTCATGGAGGATTTCGAGGAAAGGAGAAACGCCGAAGAATCGCGCATCACATTTTTGAAAGGGGAGAAGGTGAGTGAATACAGCTGGCAGAGAGCTGAGGACTTGACACGATGGAGAGAGAGAGAGAGCCATCAACTCAGGCCCTGAGGGGCCCAGTTTCAAAACTGCTGCAATCTGTCAGGTCAGACTTGTGGTGAGGAAAACATATCTTTTTTTTCCTGGGCAAAGAAAAACTTGAAAGACTGCCAGAACGTGGGTTATGACTCAAAGACATTTTATTTTCTTGGTCTAAGATGGATGGCCTGGGGGCTGAGGCACAATTTGTGAAGGTATGCAGGGTTATGTCATGTACATTGGTAGTGCTGTGGCTCGCCAGCGAATCTGGCAGCAGATTTGGATAGTGAGGAGGTTGGGGAGGAACATGGGCAGGTCCTGGAGTCTGGGGAAGGCTCTGACGCGTGCTCTGCATCAGAGGCAGAGATGGGGCCAGTTAGTCAGCTGCCTTCAGAGTCGGACATCAGGGAGGAAGAAGAACAGCTGGAGCCTGTTCCCAGTGTGCACATGCACAGAGCTGCCCGAGGAAGGGAACAGCTAAGGAACAAGGGTCGACTTGGGAGTAAAGCCACAGATGGGCGGTGAATGGCCCCTCCCATAGGGAATAAAAGGGGAATGAAAGGGGAGTGGAGTTTTGCAGGAGGCAATTACTTCATTTACGTAAAGATCCTGCATTCTTGCTACAGAGTGGCGTCTGAAAAGATATCAGTCTGGCAACTCTCCAAGCCTGATAAAGGTCTGCAATTGTGAAATCTCTTGAAAGACTGTTGGCCGGGACTTTGCAGGAGAGGAATTCAGTGTAAACTCAATAAAAGGAGTTTATTGGGACGACGAGTCTTTGACTTTGTGCTGTTGGGGAAGCCTAGGTCAGAACAGGTAGAGCTAAAACTCACTCAACAAATTTCTCACTTAGCAGCATAAATTTTGGGCTCAATTGTGGTTGCAATTCGAGGACTACTTGTATATAAGTCTTGCTTTATAAATTAACCAGTTCGATACCCATGCTTCGCTATGAAACTGTATGCTCAGGCTTAGTTTTTAGGAAGGAAAATAAGGGGGGGAAATTCTGCCGCTGCCTACCAGTATCCATCGGTATGCATCTGGCTAGCGTCCTGTCCGTGTGTGAGAGAGTTGAGGGCTGTTTGGAAACTGAAATAGTATTTGCTGTGTGAGTAAGGAGACAGCAAGGAACCTGAGCGTGGCTTAGCTCAACTGTTCTGTACTAAATCTGCTTAGTGCTGTGAAACTGAAACTGAAACTCCTCTGCTTGTGTTTTGTATTTGGAACAGGTTTCTTTTCAGGTAGGGAGGGGGAGTAGAACTCCTTAGCATCAGAGCGTGTTAATAATGATATCCAAAATACTAATGCGCTGGTGGTCATTTCAAAAAAAAAAATCCTTTCTTAGTAAGCACCTAGAAGCCAAGAGGAACATACATGCCAAATTTTCAAGTTTGTAGGCTGTACAGTTCTGGAGATTTTGTGATGACGCAGGAGTGGTATTCCGCTTTTAGATAGATAGATAGATAGATAGATGGATGGATGGATAGATGATAGATAGATAGATAGATAGATAGATAGATAGATAGATAGATAGATGAATTGTGCGGATTGCCTCCCAATTCTTACTGCGATATCCTGACTTTAGGTAAAGAACTGCACTATTATTATAAATGACGACTCTGCCTTTGAACCAGAAGAGAGATTCCGGGTATACCTGAGTGAACCCCAAGGCAACCACTGGAGTGGAGCTACAGTTGGGAAAAGCAATATGGCCACTGTAGTTATTTCCAACGACGAAGATGGTAAGAAGGATGGGCTGGTGTTCAAACACATATTTATCTGAGTTTTATTACAATCAAGTTGATTATTATGAGTCCACAAGTCTTAAAGTTGCCAAGGTTGGACACCCCTGGTCTAGACAGTCACTTATCTGAAATAATATAGGTTCTCCTGATTGAACAAGGAGCTGGACTAGAAGACCTCCAAGGTCCCTTCCATATTCATTCAAATCTCCACAGAGTAGACAAACCAATCCATTTAGACCAGGGGT